GTCTGTTCAGCCTGGAGAAAAGAAGACTGAGAGGGGACCTGATCCAGGTCTATAAATATCTAAGGTGTGGGGGGCAGAATGGCGAGGCCGGACCCTTTTCGGTGGTGAGTGGAGACAGGACAAGGGGAAACGGCTGGAAACTGCAGCATAGGAAGTTGTGCAGCAATGTGCGAAGGAACTTCTGTACAGTGAGGTGACGGAGCACTGGAACAGGCTGCCCAGGGAGGTGGGGGAGTCTCCTTCTCTGCAGATGTCCAAGACCTGCCTGGATGCCAACCTGTGCGACCTGCTGTAGGGAACTGCTTTGGCAGGGGGTTGGACACGATGAGCTCTGGAGGTCCCTTCCAACCCCTACAATTCTGTGATTCTGTGGAGGAGTGAAGCAGGGGCAGCAGGGCCTGCTGTGCAGATAGGCATAAAGACACCTCCCATGCCATGGCTCTTCTGCCCCCACAATGCTTGCAGCACCATTTAGCAATTCCCCCCCTCCTAATATTTATAGAAGTTAGCTCAAAAAATCCAGATTGTTTTTATATATTGTTTTTAATTAAACAACAACCCTGCAGCCAGTGCTGTGAATCTTTCTCACTGGACTGTGAGCTGCTCCTGGCAGTGAATTCTCTCTCTGCACCATTGGTTGTGTAGCAGTTACTGTTTGCCTCGTCTTCCCTCTGGGGTCTCTGCATGTGTCCCTTCTCATTGGGAAACACCCTCACACCGTTCCTCTTTGCTTTTGTGTATGGAATATCTGTAATTTACCCTCCTTTGCATGAACTTTATTACAACCTTTGGGCTGTAATACCCATGACAACGAAAACACAACTTGCATTTTCAAGTGATGCTGCTGTGTTTTGTGCTAATTTCCAGATCAGTGCTCCTTTGGTCTCTGAGGTAGGACAGGGTGAAGGGGAGCGGCGTGAAGCTGTGTGCATTCCCTGCTGTGGGGGGTTGGTTTGCTTTTTCTTGGCAGGGTGGGCAGGAGCTCGGGGTTAGAGGAGCATCCAGATGGCATTCGTGGGATCAGCAGCTCTGCCACAGGAGGAGGTGAGGCTGCACGCCGAGCTGCAGGACAGGAAGGGGAGGAGGTCCCAGCCCTGCTCTGGATGGTGCTCTGCGGCACTGGGCAGCTCCATCCTGGCTCAGCAGTGGGATCACACGAGGAGCACAAAGAGCACTCACAAACACAGCCGGGGCGTCTCTGTGCAGTTTTGCCTTCCCTGGAGGAACCCAGAGCTTCCCGGTTTGTTTCTGCTCCTGTAGCATTTGTATGCAGTGTGAGCATAAGCTTCTGCTGCCTTATTCTTCTTTTGGCCTTTGGTAACTTCAGGGGGGCTGCAAGAAAGAAGGGGAAAGAGTCAGAGAGTTTAGATTGGACGTTGGGCAGAAGTCTGTTACAATAAGGGTGGCACTGGAGCAGGGACACTGAGAGACCCTGGGGATCTCTGGAGCCCTGAGCACTGTGTGTCAGGGCCTGGGGATGGATGGGATGGAGGGCGCCATCCCTACCCCGTACCAGGGGGACCATTGCCACCCGCAGCGCTTCCCTCATGCTTTGGACAGCTGTGCAGAGGAGGAGGGTCTTGAGGTGTCCTAGGGATGTGATCAGCTCTGGCATCCTCCAGTGATCAATAAAGCCCTCAGCAGAGCCATGCTCTGTGTGTCTGCGTCCCCATGCTCAGCAGGGGCTGTTCGTGTCTGCTCCTGCCTGGCAGAGGCCACCTCTAAGTGGTGGGAGGGGTTCCCAGCTCCATACCCCACACCCCATGTGCTGCACCCATGGGCCTCTCCCTCCCCTCTGTGCTGCCTGCTCCAAAAAGGACACAGCTCCCCGTGCTGCCAAGCAGCCCCAGTACCCTCCCTCTGCTCCCTCCCAGTTCCTCCTTCCACTTCCTCCCAAACCCTTCACCCTTTCTTCCACCTTCTCTACGGCCTCCTTTTACCCCCTCTCTTATCGCAGCCAATTGCCCCTCACTTGGATCTGCTTCAGCCCTTCAGTCCCACTTCCCCTCCATCACCACCCAACAAAGAGTCCCCAAATCCCCTCCCTCGGGCTCCTCAGATCTCCTCTCTGATGACCGATGACACCCTCTGCTGATTAGCAAAGCCCTCTGACCTCAGTGAAGATCTCTGATGATCAGTGCAGCCCTCTGACAGCCAACAAAGCCTTCAGTGACCACTGACACTCCCTGGTGGCAAACTGAGCCCCCGATGATCAGCGGGCTGCTGTATCACATGCAGGAAAGGAAAGTGAAGGGTGAGAAAGAATATTTTGACACCATTTGGTAGACAGCGTGGTTTGCTCATCACAGAATAAAGATTGGTTTGGATTTAATCAAGCACCGAATTTGGAGAGAAGTGTGACTGCACCACCCCTGTGTGTGCTGCCCGCTGCCTGGGACCGGCTGCCTGATTCCAAGCCCTCCTCCAAGAGGCTCGGCTGCTCCTCAGCGATGCCCACCTGCTCCTCGTGGAGCTGCTGCTGGCCAGGCACTCGGACTCCACTTGGCTGGGCTGCACTGCAAAGACACTGGGTCACAATCCAGGCTGGGGACTGCGATGGCTGCTGGGCTCCGGTCAGCATCTTCAGCAGAGCCAGGAGAAATGAGGGCCGGAGGGTGGATCAGCTCCTTATCCCCATCACTGTTGTCCTGTGGAAGGCAGCCATCAGACCTGCAGCGATTCGTGCTTCCTGAGAGCTCGTCACTGAAGGAAGCACTCAGTGCACCACCACTGGGCCTGGGTCGAAACCACTTGGATTCATCTAGGAATGAGCAGATACACGGGGCGAGTGTCAAGTGTGCAAGCAGGCCACGCCACTGGGCTGATGACCAGCAGCTCGGTAGCACTTGCAGTCCTGTGTCTGACTGCATTCCGTATCTCCAACCACATCCTTGCCCCAGATCGGGGGGTGGACAGTCCATTCCTGGAACACAGCCCAACCATCTGAGCAGATGTTCAGGATGCCATCACCGGCTCCCTTGCTCATAACCATCCACACGGCTCGCAGTTCTGCCCATTGCCTGCTCTGACCATCCCCCTCGTTGAACCGCATCGTCTCGCTGGAAGGATGGTATGCTATTGCTCTCCACTTGCTCGGGTTGCCCTTGCTGGACCCATCTGTGCACCAGGCATCTTCAAGGATCGGGTATTTTCCCTCCTGAACAGGACTCTGGTGGAGCGACCAGTGCTTCTTTTGGTGCATCACTCCCTGAAGCTCAGGAGACAAAAGTCAGCTGAAAGACTAGAACAACACAGAGCAGGAGGGGGAAGTGCAAGTGCTCACCCAGAGACAGAAAAAAGGTTTATTCAAGTATTACAGTATGACAACCAAGCATTGCAAATACCCCAGTGAAGTGAAAATCCGCAGTCAGTGCAGGAAGCCTGAGGTTTCAGCATTCACAACAGAAGCCAGCTAACAGAAGCACTGTGGGAGCTGTATCTGCCTGTGCCCCTTCTCCCACGAAGCCCAACAGCAAACATTTGTTCTCAGCTGCTACTTTAAAACACCACAGTCCCTGTTCCAACAGCCCTCCTGCTACCTCTTCCATCAGAGCTGTGCCTGCAGACCCCAGACAAGGCCGGGGTGCTCTGCCTTATCCAGAATAACAAAAACGGGCAACGGCAGGAAGAGAAGAAGTCTGCACCTGCAGTGCCCTGCCCATTTATCTCTTCTGCTATTTGGTGCACTGCCAATACATGACCAGCACCACCACTCCAATTCTTCTTTCTGAATTAGCAATAAGGCAACTTAAGTGGGAACCAAAGGCATCTGGGTGTGATGCCAGTCAGCTCCTGCAAAAAGCAGCTCACCTCATACTTGGGGCCAAGGGAGAACGAGGAACACCCCGACCTTCTACTGATCACAGTGCAAATGTGAGCCCTTTTCAGACTGGAACCCTTTGGGCATTCCTTCTTTAAAAACAACAGCCACAACAGCATCACTGGAAGCTCGTTGCAGTCCACAGACCAAATCACCAGAACAGAAACAATGGGAGATGGCAGAGGTCTGAAGCAGCTGCAAAAGGAGCGTTAGGGCTTCAGTGGGGTTGGTTAGTTTGGTTTGTCATAGCAGTTAAGAAAGCAGGGAAGTGAGGGAGTTTTGTATTAACAAAGTTCAAAACAGACCTCAGAGCTCTGATTCTGACTGGGAGCTCTGTGCACCGTACCCAGCACCAGCCATCTGCCTGTGCCTTGCAGCACTTTGCTCCAGCAAGCAGGCCGTGCACTCACTGCATTTTCTCTGCTACCTCAGACAACACAGAACAGCATCATTTTAACCCCAACTCCATCCTGGATGCAACCCCTGGTTGTGTGCACGGAGTCCAACTCCTCATAGCGTGCAGAGCAGGCAGTGCCCTGCATGATGCCACAGAGATCATCACTGTGACAACCCAACAGTAAACCAAAGCAACCGCTGCGTTTAGGGTTACCAACACTACAGAGAGAGGTGCTCACCACACTCAAATCCCAGCCTGGTTTTGGGCATGCGTTCCCATCTCTGTCTTTCCCCATGGTGAGTTTAACTCTCACCTCACTACTTATAGCTGTGAGGGCAAATTTATGCCACCTCGTTTTACACATCCAGCAGTCAGCTAGCCAAGACCCAGCTAGCACTGTCTAGGCTCCCTGTGAAGTTAATCCAAATAAATATGCATCTCCAGAGGGCAAATAATGCAGAGCTGTGGCTCCAGAGAGCAACTCCTACCAGGAGCTCTGCAAAACACTCTGCTCCCACATCCAACCTATTGCTGCAGTGTCAGAGATGAGTCTGCACTCAGACGTTCCCTTCACAACTCACACTGCACAGCTGTTTCTCTCCTGGTGCTGCCTTCATGCAGTGAAGTCACCTCTCTGAAGCTTCAGGCCTTCAGGCTCAAGCTTCCTCAAGCTGCCAGCTTGGGATTCCGTCCATCTTGGGTTCTACTGGTGAAACAGCAACAGTGGCCACTACAGGAGACGTGACAGGATTTAAAGTTCAGAAAATAATTAAAAAAAAAACACAACAGAACAGTCAGGTAATGGTGACCTAATTTCCCAAACTGTCTTTCTGCCAACCACAACTTCAGGGTTTCACAGACCTTGGTACATTATCAGCTTGCCCTAAAAATGCCTTATCTGCAAACCAGAAATGAGCATATCGCAGCTTTCAGACAAGCACCATCCAAAACAAAATGGAAGAATGCCACAAACTTGCATCCCCCTGAGTAAAAAGCCAGAAACTTTATTATTCATACCAAACTCTTATACACAAAAGCTCCTATGTCTTTTAAAATACCTTAGCTCTCAGTCCATCACAACAACTACGCGTCACACAAACGGGCCATGCTCAGACCCCTACAATACAGACCTAACCTTCAGTGCATTGTGCCAGAAAAGCGTTCGTTTCACTGCCTCTTTGAATCAGATCACGAGAAGAGTGGTAACACGACAGCCAGAATGCTGAGGATCACCTGTGGAGAGGAAGTTTTGGACACAACACGCCGTAAGAATGACATGCTGTGAAAATGCAGAAAGCTGCTTGCTTGAGCTGCGCTGCTGGACTGAGGCAGAAGAGGTCAGTGAGCAAAGCCTCTGGAATTCCCTGAGGACGGCACTGCAGCGGGGAGAAGGAACCTGGGGACGTTGTGCACTCAGTGCTAAGCAGCACTCGAGGGATTCTGCACCAGACAACAGTTCAGGGCCTTGGAAAAAGATGATCTGAAGTGGAGCCTGTATAACAGAGTTCAGAGCGAGAGCCAAAGGGCACCGAAAGGGAAAACACTGCAGGGCGGTGTGAAACCAGATGAGCACCAATCCAGAGACCACTTCAAATCCCTTAAAAATATACAGAGGGACTCATTGAATTACACACTGGGCACAGCCAAGAGCAGCTTTGGTTTGCTCTTCTCTTCCCTGTTTCAGCTCGTTACATTTGCACATCATGTTACTGTTACAAAACAACCACAAAACCCACCAACATAATGCAACTAAGCTGAACAAGGACAGGATCAGTGAAGGAACAGAGCCATGGCAGCTGTGTGCTGCACCAGCCCACCCTGCACAGCCACGGTGTCAGCACTCAGCCACAACCCGCCGTGCTGCTCAGCAGAGGGCTTCAGCCCTACGTTACACTGCTCACAAGGGGGTTCTGCTGAAAGCCAGGGAAGCAGCAGACGTGCAGGGAGGAAAAGCTCCTCCATCCTTAATATGGCTCACGACCAGATACGGGACTGAGAAACTGCACTGTGATACCCCAGAATCAGTAACAAGCAAAGCACGTGGTCATTCTTACAGGAGGTCCAGAAATGAAAGAGCAGCATAAAAAGAAAAACAGAGGTGAACAGATTTGCTTCAGCGCTTGCTTAACTCCGGCAACCCTAATTTGGAGAAGAAAACCAAAGTTTGTAACTGAGCTTGGAGGGACTTACTAAACAGCAGGTCAGCCTGGATCCAGCTGAGCTCCTGGATCAGCTGTTCTCTGTTGGCCCAACCTCCTGTGAAAAGCCAAGAGCAGAAATCCAGCTCCAAGGGCTCAGAAAGAATAAATGACAGAGAGCCCAGGCCACCTGAATTACTTTTTTTTTGCAGGAAAGATGTGAGGAACAAAGTTGTTCCAAAAACTGTCCTCAGTTTTCCTTGTTCCACTACCAAGACGACAAAAAGCATCAGCTTCTCTCACGTGCACTGAGTTCAGTACCTCAAATGCTGTGGACACTGACATCGTTTGACAGAAAACACCTTCTTAACACACAACATTTCTTTCCTCCAGCCAAGCATCAGCAAAGCCTCTCGCCTCCCTCAGAATCCTCCTCCTGAACTGCAGCCCTGAGCTCCCTACCATGCTGCTGCACTTTGCCAGGTGATGATTATTCAGCAGAACTGCCATGGGAACAGAGGAACACACTTCTCATCACTTCCCAGCTTCTAAGCACACATTTTTTTAAGTCAGCTGTTTTGCTTTTCTCCAGCTTTACTTCAAGCCTCGGGCACAGACGTCCCTGGATCCGTTGGGTCTTACTAACACTGCTAATGCAACATTTAAAGGCTGCTGCATGAACAGGAAACTGGGATCTATTTGTGCCCTCATTCCTCAGCTTGCTCCAGCAAACAAATCCCTTGACACCAACAAGGCACGTTAGGTTCACTTTTCCACTTAAAGGAAATGGGCAAAACTCAGTGCTAAGTTTCCAGCAAAATGTGCACTGCACTCCTTTTGTTGAGCAGCTCTTGCAGACACAGTTACCCAGCAGTGGAAATAAAGCTGGGCAAGGAAACAAACCTGCAAGAACCAAGTCCTACTTGTCACACTGCCAGTGAGACACTGGATCACTGCATCCCAAGAGCCAACTTGAGAGCAAGCAGGCACCAATCTGTGAACCTCATGAAAACCAAACACCAGCATCACATTCTATGCACACACATACACAGTCCTGTCTTGTCTGGATTTGAGAAACAAGGTCCTGAGGTAAGGTGGATTAGAACAGCTTTTCTTCTGAATAACACCACAGGGACATTCTCCTGCTTAAGTACAATGAACAGAGTTCTCTCCAGAACAGCCCAGGCTCTTCCACTGTCACACCAGGCAGACCAGAACCGTCACAGCTCTGCACTGAACAACTCCAGCTTTCATTTTAGCCACCAGCAGTAATTCCTCCCAGGATGTACATTCCATAAGATCAAAACCTACAGCATCAGGAAAATCCCATTTCAGTCTTTAGAGAACGCAGCAAGCCTTAAAGTTGCATCCAGGAAGCTTCTGATGCTTAACGTGTGTTTCCACGTGAGCCCACGGGGTACGTGCACAAACCCCACTGCTTGTTAGCAGGACTGGAAACCCTGGTTTGAAAACACACCCAGAGTGTTCTGGCGCTAGCAGAAACACTGACAGATCTCAAATGCACTGTAATAAATTCCTTCTCAGAAAATACTGCCCTGCTAACTGTTGCCCAGGATTCTGGACAGTCAGGAGCAGTGAATCCCTTGTCTCATTCACCATCTGGGCAGCACTCTCGGTTCGCCACAAGAACAGGACGTTGCACCATCCCACCTCATGGCAGAAGAGTGAATTGCAGAGATACTGCAAGACTCAACTGCACACAACGCACATAATATGGAAAGAGACAGCCCGTATTCCAACAAGCTTTAGTCCCCTGACAATTAACATCCAGACGAGCTCGTGGGTTTGAAATGTCACTGTTCGGCCAATGAATCAGCCAGTGAGATATGCCAGCCTGCATTTCTGATCCACCTGGTGAGGCAGCACAACAGCTTGAAGTACCAAGGATCTGCCAGGGGCTTTAGTTTAGAAATACCAATAATCCCACCATGCAATCCCATCCTCACCGTTCTGCCAACCAGCAGAACAAAATGCTCATGGGTAAAAGCCAGAGGGACGTGAAAAAGCCTTCTATTTTGCTGAACAGCCACACACCATCTGCATGAGCACTGCAGAAAATCTGCAGAAAAAACAGCTGTCAGTCAGCTTCTGCTTCTGTATCCTGACCAGAAGGGGGAAAATGCAATTTGCAGTGTTAACAACAGCACTGACACAACAGGGACATGGACTGGTATGCAGGCCAACAGAACAGTGACGGGTGACAAAGGTAAGGAGAGGTAAAACTCGCAGCCAAGTGCCAGCTCCTGTGTGAGGGAGAGTTCTGAGGGAAACAGGGTAATTTGGTGGGAAAACAGCACAGTGCAGAGCTCAGGGCTTAAAGAACTTAGAAATCATTAAGCAGGCAAAAAGCCATCGCTGAGTGGAGACCCATCAAACACAGCTGATGGCCAAGCATTTCTGCTGGCATCCAGGCTTTCTTCCATCAGCACAAAAACTTGCCTTTTCCTCTGAAAACCAGCCAAAGCCAAGCTTGTCCTGCCATTGAGCCAGGCACAGCACTTCTCCCATACAGAACTGCAGTGAGGAGTTGGCCGTGCTGGGCTGCTTCTGCCACCAGCTCTTCCATGCACCTTTCCTGAGGCACAAGCCTGTGAATGCTGAAACACATGAATAATTCTGCTCAGCTGGGTAATCCTGTGGCTTGCTCTGCTAGCCAAAGTACACAATTTGAACCAAAGGCAAAAACCTCTTATTCTAGTCTTGCCAGACCTCTGGACATAACCTGAGACTCTTGCACCTGAGAAGGGAAGACGCAATAAATGTTTTTGTCTTGCTCTCCCCATCTCAGAACTGGAAACACTGGTGAACAGCCACGCATTACAAGTTCTCAGGACAGTAAAAAGCAGCACTCAAGTTGCCACATCCTCCCCAAGATGAGCGCGCTTTTATTGGGGTAGATGAGAAAACAGAACGTGAAATAAGACCTGGACAACAAATACTGCAGATGTAAGATATGAAGATATCAAGGAATGCCTCACTTTTCAGTCAGTAGCTGAGCTGCCTAAACAGAGGACATGGTTTAGAGGACATGGTGGTGATGGCTGCACTAGATGACTTCAGAGGGCTTCTCAGCCTTAATAGTTCTACGATTCTAAATTACACTTGAAAAAATGTTTCAACCCATTCTAACAGAACGTAGAGGAAGAATGAACACAAACAGTAAGGCAATAATGTCAGCACTCTTAGGCATTTTGCAGCTCCTAGCCAAGGATCACCAAAGTCAGTAGATGAGCACATTCTTACTGCTGGGACAGCATTTCCTTTTCCAATCCTCTACTTTCCTTGTGAGAGCAAAACTGCACCAGCTCAGAACCTCGTGCTGTAAAGCTGAGCCTTCCACAGAGAAACTCAAGTAGTTTCCCAGACTCCATCGTACAGTCTATTATTTGCCAGCTGTG